GAATCTTTTCCGAGTTGATTTGGATGCTTTGAATTGATTTGGAGCTTTTTATGGGTCTCCCAATTCGATTCAGATTTGATGATTCATCTGCCGAATTCGGCTGAATCTTCTCCAAATTGAATCGGCGACTGAAGTGTCGCACACCTCTAATAAAAACACTTTCCTAGCCCGTAGGAGTACTGTAAAAATAAAAACACTAAAGAATGTGAGGCATGAAAATTCTTCAGGGATGTGAAACATGTCGATTTCTACAATGGAGTCATCCATTCTGAACTCAAGGAAGCAGAAATAGAGAATACCTCCCTCCCCCAAACTTTTCTGGATCCTGTCCACCAAAAACCTTTTGCATGAGATGCTATCCTCCTCTCATTTTCATAACTTGTTAGCTCAATAATAATATATTTTATTTATACCAGTTATATTACCTTGTACTGCTGGATTTCACTGGTTTGGAGCAGATTTGATTCTGGACAAGATGACCCCCAAACAATACCTATACTGAACTTTAGAAAGTAGTGATGATGGGTGACCTAAGAGCTTGAGGCCACTGTGCTGATGGCTTTCAGCTGAGAAATAATACTAGAGTCCTGACTGCCTGTGATCATTAAAGATGCCAAGGGCTGTTTCATAGAAGTTATTGTAATTAACCCAATGACTGGTAAATTTCAATTTGGGTAGTTGAACTAATCGCACTAACAGTTTCAACTGGATAGTTTTCTTCCCCCTCCCCTGCAATTGTGTGTTGCTGTGTACTGTTAAAGCCTTTGCCTTCTATTCAGAAACAGCTGCATTTCAAGAGGATGAGGCAGTCTTGATGTCCTTTCACTTTTGTGAGCCATGATTTATTTGTTGCTTGCAAAATCCAGTCTTTTTGGTATAGAGATAGCAATACATGCACGTGCTGAAAAAACATTAATACTCTCCCTTACTAAGCAGAGGAATAGTTTTTATTTGAACTGGAGTGATGATTTTAGCTTTGTCTGTTATTTTAGAGTGCTTCAATCTCACGATAACTACTAAAGAGGGATTCTCATTTGCTATTAAGAGTTGTGTTTTTTCCCTATGTACGTAAATACAATGTAAAGAAATTGCCCAATTAGAAAACAATACTACAGGTGCAGAAGCCCCAAGTACCCTTGATTTGAACATATTTATCTGTCCTCTAGGAGCATGCAGATGTCTGCTAGAAATTAATTTCTTGTGCAGCACAGGAAAAAAAAAGGCTGAGTAGCTAAAATATGAAGACTGTTGCAGTAAATACCAGGATTGCTTTACAAAACTAGTGACTGCTTGAATGAGTTGCATCTAATGTAAGCATGAGTCAGCTGGCTTTTTTTTCCTTTTGGTAACATCCATGCCCTTGCTGTCACCTTCTATATGTACTAGGTTCTCTTAAAAAGGTTTCTACTTTGGGCAAATATTGTTTAAATCAGGAGTGGGGGGGGGAATGCATATTTTAGAGGTTATTCTTAAAGTTACCTGCCCTCTGGGATGCTCTCAAGGTGGTATGGCACACTCGGTCAGGTTTTTATTCTGCTCTAGGTTATTCTGTCTTCTGTGTTAGAGAGAGGCAAGGTGTCTAGCAGGGTTCCTGCCAATGGCTGTCATAGATCACAGTGAATGGCATTGATGGAGAGGGTGTGGATGGGTTGCTAGAGGGATGTGTTGATTTAGTAATTTCCAGCCTGTGGCAGTCCAGGCTACATTTTAAAATGATGAAACCCCAGGGTTGGACAGTAGTGAGAGTATTATGTGTTGACCTGTTGGGTATATTGGAGCACAGCAGCTGCTGCTGGTACCTGACTTGCTATTTCCCCATTCTGTGTTAGTGAAGGCGAATCAAAGACCTCTACCTGTGGTAGCGATTCTCAACCACGGTGTCCCCTGAGTGGGCACCAGATCTTTGAAGGATGTAAGCACTGTAATCTATAAATTAGTTTTTGAAATTGGCAGGCAGTTCACAAAAGTTATGGAAGGGTGCCTCAAGTCCAATGAGGGGTGCCTCAAGTTCAAAAAGCTTGAGAACCATTGGCGTATGGTCTAACTGCACTTGGAATTTGTTTTAATTATGGCTGTGTAGCAAAGCTGGTATTTCCACCAAAGCGGTTTAAACCTGCTTAAAAATGGGATAAGCTGCACTGATGTAAATTGTGGGTTATAGTGGATTATTACCCCTTTTATTCCTAGGGGGCTTCATTAGTGTGGCTGTACAAATGGCATTTTGTACATTGGGTAGGCAGGGCCTGTAACGTAGCCATTTTCTGTCTGCTTAATGTGGAGCTCCCACTGGGGCAGATACCATACCATACCCTGGTAAAATAGATTGTGTATGGCTGTGTAAGGTAGGCAGGGGCATCTCAGTGGTGACAGGTGCATGAGTAGACTTGGATACAGTGAGTGATCATCAGCTCTATTTATCCATCAGGGTTGTGGACTGGATAATTATAGTTATTTGCTATTGAAGCAAGATGGTTCCTTGTCACACATTCTAATCAGCACAGTCTTCTTTTGAATGCACAGTCTTTCTGAAAGGGTCATTAGCCCTAAGGATAAGACGTGCAGAACTGCAGTGAGTGTCCTGTTTACATCAAGGCTTCTGAAACAGTGTCTGTCTTCAGTGTTTTGTGTACAGAAGTTGAGCTTAGATTCATCATGCTTTATATATTTTTAAAAACATTTTTTTTATCAGCTTTACGGTCTCATTTTTTGCTGTTCAGCAAAGACACCAATATTGCTATTTTTTTTTTTTTTTTTTAGACCTTCACTTTTCTTACCTTGTGAAGAT